CCGCACCGCACCGCACTGCACGGCCCCCCGCCTCGCCCGCACCATGATCGCCGCGGCTTTCCTCGTTTTGCTGAGACCCTACAGCATCCAATGTGCTCTCTTCCTCTTGTTGCTTCTGCTGGGCACCATCGCCACCATCATTTTCTTCTGCTGCTGGCACCGCAAGCTCCAGAAAGGGAGGCATCCGATGAAATCGGTCTTTTCGGGGCGTTCCAGAAGCAGAGGTGAGACACGCCGCCGCCGCCGGTGTCTTCTGGGCTAGAAGGGAGGTTGAAGCCTCCTCCTCGGCCGCCCCTGTCCCCCCCTCCCGACTTCCCGTCATTGCCCACTCCTCAAGCTACGTGCATTTATTTATTTAACGAGCCCTGGCCTTTTGCCCTTAAGTCCGTCCTCAGATCACCAGGTTTGGATAACCTCGGAGATTCGGAGGTCCTGGGAGGAAGGATCAGACTCCGTTTCTTAGGGTCAGTTTGCTAAAGCCCAGAAGGTAATTGTAGTGGAATCCTGGGCTGAGACACTCTTACCTTTACACAGCCTTTGCTGGAGCTTGGGGATTAAAAAAAAAAAAAAGTAAGGCGTGATAATTGGGGGGCTCCCCTCCCAACTTTGCTGGAACTTCTTGCAGAGAAATCACCTTAGAGACAGATGGTCCAATACTCCCTCCGCCCCGCCCCAAATCTGCCCACCGAATTGGAGAGAGACATCTAGAATGTGCTTTCCCGAGTCCAGGTTAACTGAGGAGCAACTCTGCAGGCTGAGAACAAGGAGTTAATGAAGTCTCATTTCCCCCTTTTCTCCCCAGATGCTGTTCTGAGATCTCATCACTTTCGCTCTGAGGTAATTTATTTAGTCACACTCTCAAGGTCAGAAGTAGCTTTCTTTCCCGGGTACCAGTATTAATCATGTGCGTGTTCAGAAGCCAGTAGGGCACGGACTGGGAAGCTTGCAGACCCTAAGCCCAAACTGGCATGCTTCCTTTGAAGCAATTCCACAGTCAAGCCCAGAGAGCGTTGTAACAGATTGTGTGTGTGTGTGTGTGTGTGTGTGTGTAGTTTTGTGTGGAGTTTGCTTTACAAGAGGTGGGAGGGGCAGTCCCTAAAAGTGCAGCAGGCCTTAGAGAACTTAGCCAAGGAATGGCTATCATCAGTTTAGCTTAGAGCCTGTATCTATGGTGCAAGCACTTCCTGGGTGCTCACAGAGGTCAGTGGTTGTGCCCTTGGATAAACCCTAGGGTGAAACTACTAGGACGTTATCGCAGAACGGTTTGAACCATATGCACTCCAGCTGAGACTCCAGCTGACAGTCCTCCTGTCTCAGAAAGCTGTCTTCCACGATGGTATTGAGGACACGATAGTGGTGTTGGTGAAGATACACCAGGGAGTATGTACTTGTTATTTGTGCTAGACTATCCCTCTAGAGTAGGTGACTGGACGCTGCCAGTATGTGAGACCACAGTAGGACCAGCTCCAGGTAGGACAAGATACAAGCTCTGCCTGACCCATTGGATTTCTTTAGTTTCCAGATGCCCACTTGCAGTAAGACAGTTTTCTCTCTTTGGGGGAAAGTTGCTCGTACCCAGGCGTGGAGGCTGCTTGGCGACACAGCTTCGCAAAGTATTGTGTATATCCCTTCTCCTACAACCTCGTTATTTACCTGAAGTTACTTTACATCTTGTGCTTCTTGTTCATTGAAGGTTTTATTGCATCCCTGTGGATGCTTTGCTGCATTGTGATTCTTTAAAAAGCTCAACTGCATTATAACGTTACTATGTTGCACACTGAGTAATTCTGTTGTATGTGCCCTGGAAGTGAGAACTCTACTAGTTAAGATTCGTGAGAAAATAACTTGTCAACAGTCAGCAGGCTTGTATTTAGCTTTGTACTGACTACCTCTTGGGGGTGGGAAACACAGTTTTGCCATCTGTAAAACAGGGCCAGCAGTACCCTGCAGGGCTGTATGTGGAAACTTATTTTTAAAATTATGTAAAAAAATAATTAGTTCAGAGGAGGTATTTAGTTTTGGGTAGCCATCATACATTTTGTAAAATTGAACTGGAAATTGTCAGTTGTGGTTGCATGCATGTTTAATCCCAACGCTCAGAGGCTGAAGCAGGGGATCTCCATGAGTTTTGTGGCCAGCCTGTTCTACAACGTGAGTTCCAGGACAGCCAGAGCTACATCGCTACATTGTGAGACCCTGGTTTTTTAAGGAAGAAAAGAAGAGAAAGAAAAAGAAAAAAATGTGTAAAAATCAAGATATGTCTGTAATGAAGTCTTTAGAAAATTAGGTCAGGTTTATAGACTACGACATGAACTGGGTCTGTTGTGAAACAGATGAATGAAGTCAAATAATTCATTTAGATGCAGTAAACGGTGAATGGTGGACAGGATACAAGCGTTAAGACGTAGCGGATCGACTTGGAAAAGATTCACCAGTTCCGTATACATACAGGATAGTCGGGAGAGACTGCTGGGAACTAGCCTCAGACGGTTCAGCGTAAGCACCCTGGGAACACGTGGGATGTGCCCACAACTTTGTTTGCAGTTTTTCAGCTAAAATTTCGTCTTGAGCTTGTGTTGGTTAAGAAGTCTGGGAACAGCTGTCCAGTGCCTTATCTTGTTCTGCAAGATTGCCAGTGTCATTTGAAATCTTTGTGTTTACTTGTTGCTTGCTTTATGGGTTAGCCTGTGAGTTCCTGAGGGCAGAGCCTCGGTCTCGAGTGACGCCATTGCCTGGCCCAGTGCCTCGTGTGGAATGGGTTCTTAATAAATATTTATGGCATGAATGAGAACAGTCTCTTGGTGGGCAAATAGAACTCAGAGTTGGACAGAAGAGAAAAATGCATTCTTGGAACATGGCTTAGAATTTAGCAGCGTTTATTTACCTTTCCCAGGCTTTTAAAATAGCATTTTATTTTTTTATTTTTTGAAATAGGGTCTCACTGTGTAGCTCGGGCTGTCCCAGGACTCACTATGTATAGATCAGGCTGGTCTCGAACTCACAGAGATATGCTTGTCCCTGTCTCTTGAGTAACTGGCTTTTTCCAAAGCTTTGGGAAAAAAAATTACCTTGGTGTTTGTAGTAAAATTTAAGGTACTCACTGTAACAAAAAGATTGTTAGAATTTCTTTTTTCCCCCAATAAAATAAAATGTAATATCAGCTTAATTTACTGATGCATGATAAACTAAGCAAGGAATGTTATTTGGTATGTGGAAATCATAGTCTGTTGCACAAGAATGTCATATTTCATCACTGTCTTATATTTACCACAAACATAACATTTCCCCTTAAGCAAAACACAGGATATATTTTCTTCTCCCTCTTAGAACGTTATTTCTGCCAAGATTTTTCTCCTTAAGGAAGACCTCCGCATTTACTTGGATTGAAGCATATTTAATAAGTGAGAGTGGACACAATGAATATTCCTGCTGTTTTTTTTTTTTTTTTAAATTTGCAGCTGCTGCAAAATATTATCAAAGCAAATGCTTTGATTTTCTGGCAAGTCCTAATCACATTGGGCTAAGTTTCTAGTGCTTGCTGTTCCCCAGGCCAATCTCAGTAAGTGGATAATACACTTTCAGCATTTCTGCCCTGGTCAAAGGAGAAACATGATGATGTAGGATCTGCTGACTCACTTTGAAACCTGAACAAGCTGCGATAGAATACTGGGACTGATGAAGTTTGGAAAACATTTTGCTGTTTCATCTGGCAGAGGACATTATTTCTGCCACTCACGCCTCCGGGAGGGAGTCAGCGTGGATGGGGAATTCCGAGGTGTTCTGTCTGAGGTGGTCAGAATGATACTTCCTAAGGGGAAAACACGGTTTTGAGGCTCCACCAAAGAGATGAAGGCAGCTCCCCAATCTGAGGAGCTGTAATCCTTTTTCTCCTCGTCTGTATTTAATGGCATGTTTCTTCAATCCAGGCTCTTTGTGAGACACTAGAAGTCAGTAATGTGATGTTCCTAAGGCGCTTTAGGTTGGTAGGCACCCCCGGCACTTTCTTTTCAGATACTTGTAAAGTTATGAGCTTTTTAACAAGCCTTTAAATTTTAATAATAGCACATGAGAAAGTGAAATTAACCCCTCTAGCAAAGTCTACAATTTTACCTGACTTTAGAAACTGTAAATGGAAAGGTTCAGTTGGGTGGAAATATGTGTATTGTTTGCTTATTTAAAACTTGCACTCGTGTGTGTGTGTGTGTGTGTGTGTGTGTGTGTGTGTGTATGAGAGAGACTTCATTGTAAACCATTCATGAAATGTTTTCCCATTGATGTAGGACAGTCTAGAAACCATGTGTGCCTTCTGGTTTCTAGCCGTCTAACATCTCCGAAGTGCACTTTCCCGAAGACTTCCAATATTTTGTGCTGTGACTGTGAACAGGGGTGAACTGTCACCCTAGGTTCCTGTGATGGAAGTCAGGCGGTGACTGTCCTGTTTCGGAGAAAATTTTAGAGAGTGATATGGGCAGTTGTGGCACCGTCCTGTTATAAAGGAGAATCTTGGAGTACTGTCCTTCACAAAATAAAGACAATGATAATGCCTTCGAGAGTCCCAGAGTGAATGGTGGTGAATGATCCCTATTCATCATCAGCTCATGCGAATAAGGGACGCCTTGTTTGTTTAAGGAAGGAGAAGGTCCTTCCCCTTCATCAGGATCTGATAAATAGCTTTTCTTCCTGCTTCAGGCAAAGGCAACAAGAGAGTTGAGTCAGACTAAGCAGTTCCTGCAGAGTCACACAGTAAGAGACAGGGTGGTAAGACAAGAACCACAACTACATTTCGTCTCCTTTTGGTGCAGACCCATGTCACTCATAACCCATACACAAATGTGCCCAAAATTCTCAATGAAAGAGAAGACTTAAGTTGAACGTTTTTCGTGCATATTTCCTATAAAACTGGTAGACAAATTTGTTAATTTACTCCCCTCACCCATGTTTATCCAAAGTCTTCTGGATGAAATGTACTCTACGGTCTACTCAGAGTCTCTGGCCTCATTAGATGCCCAAATGTCCCTATTCCAAACTCTGGAGGATTATTAGCAAAATAACCATATTACATAGTTTCTCATTAAGCTCACATTTTTCATTAGGAATTACCCAATTTCAATATATATGTATAAAGAGCACATGGTACAAATATATGTAAATATGTATAACATATTTTATGGAGCCGTTTAAAAAAAGTTTATATTTTTAAAAACTGTGATAAAAGAATCACCCAGTTTTCTGGATTGGGGAAAATAATGCTTTATTCTTGAGCTATCCTTTATAATTAGGTTATTGTTATAAATACATTTTTGTCTAGTGTCATTCTAGATCTAGATTAATTTATACTAATTAAATGAGTCATGAGTAGTAACTGTATACATGATGCAATGTTCATTTAGTGTGACCCAATTATCTTCACAGTAAACACATTAATCTTTTCTTTATGAAGTGCTGTGTTAGACACCAGGCCTGACGAAGATGCTGAGGTGGCCCATAGTATTCTAAGTCACCCCAGCATCCTTGCCGAACCTAACAGCTACCGGTTCTTCTGTTACAGTGACTGAACTGCTGTGCTGTTCCCAACTATGAGTTCCTAACTATGAGTCACCAATGCAGTGAAAGCATCGGAGACCATGGCATGCAAATGTGCAGCCAATGTATATGCATAAATAACAGATTGGCCCTGTCCACAGAACTGATCTTACCATTCCTTTTTTTCTTTTTTCTTTTTCTTTTTTTTTTCTTTTTTTTGGTTTTTCGA